TGCCGACTTTCCAACGGGACATGTGGCGTGAATGAATCTCCTTTTGTGGGATGTAATGGCAAACGCGCAAGTCCATTCCCATACATTTATGCGTGTTTTAAATCAGTCCTCACCTGATGATCTAGGTCTTTTATAGTGTATATATACCTTTTTGTTATTCCGCAGTGACCTTTCTAGGCTGGGTTGTTAATGCATTAATAAAGTTGATTAGCGGTCTTTTTCCTACTAGTTAGAAGTCATCAGTTTTTTTTGTTTCGTTTTGGTTTTTTTGTTTTGTTCCTATGCCTTTGGAGCACGGTAATGCTGAGAAATTTGGATGCATTAAACTGTTGAGATTGTTCTGAGAGCAGGCAGGTGAAGTTTATGATCAGAAGTTCACACTTGGGGGATTCCCCTAAGGCTTTTACGACTGTGAAGAATTATCCCCAGTGCCTATAGGAGGTCTTGCCCCCTCATCGAGATTGGCAGATGGGCTTGACATGGAAGTCTTGTTCCTCAGTTGCCCCCCTCACTGTGCAATTGCATGCCAACGGCCCAACCCCCCCCAATTTTTTTCTGCCACTACCTTTGCGAACCCTACCGTGTCAGTCTGACTGCTTTGAAGGAGAAAATTGGGGGGGGGGGAATACTGCCACCATAAAACAAGGGTTTGAATGATGGCACTGAGCATACGGTGTTGACCGAGCCAGTCACAGGGTTGCTGAAGGGCCCACCAATTTATAGTGCTTTCGGCTCACAGCTACGCATCACCATGGAAACCCCGTGTGGCTTCTTATATGATGCAGGGAGGACGTTGGAATCGGTGGCCGGGGCCATTTTATGAGCCGAAATGAATTATACATGGGTGCAAATGGATGAAGTCATAATCATACATTTAATATGCATTAAATATAAATGCAGCTAGTTTGAACCCTCTGCGCCTGTCACTGTGATGTCTGCATTCATTGAAGTAATATTTTGGTCCGGTTTTCACTATATGTACACTGATCAGCCATAACATTAAAACCACATGCCTAATATTGTGTAGGTGCATCTCATGTCACCAAATAGTTCTGACCCGTCAAAGCATGGACTCTGAAGATGTCCTGTGGTATCTGGCACCAAGACGTTAGCAGCTGATCCCTATAAGCCCTGTAATTTGCGAGGTGTTGCCTCCAAGGATCAAACTTGTTTGTCCAGCACATCCCACGGTGGCTTGATTGGATTGAGATCTGAGGAATTTAAAGTCCAAGTCAGCACCTTAAACTTTTTTCATGTTCCGAAGAACCATTCCAGAAGATTTTTTGCAGTGAAGCAGTGCACATTGTCCTGCTGAAAGAGGCTGCTGCCATTGCGTAACGCCATTGCCATGAAAGGGTATACTTGGTCTGCAGCAATGTTTAGGTAGGTGGTATGTGTCAAAGTATGATCCACATGAATGCCACGACCGAAGGTTTCCCCGGAGAACATTACCCAGAACATTACCCAGAACATCACACTGCTTTTGCCGGCTTGCCTTTTTCCCATAGTGCATCCTTGCAGCATCCCTTCCCCGGGTAAATGACGCACATGCACCTGGCCATCCACATGATATAACAGAAAATGTGACTCATCAGACCAGGCCACATTCTTCCTTTGCTCCACGGTCCAGTTATGCTCACGTGACCATTGTAGGTGCTTTTGGTGGTAGACAGGGGTCAGCACAGACACTTTGACTGGTTTGTGACATCACAGCCCCATATCCAGCAAGCTGCAATGCGTTTGTGTGTTCTGATACCTTTCTATTATAGTTAGCATTTTCTTATCAGAAATTTGTGCTACAGTAGCTCTGCTGTAGGATTAGATCAGACAAGCTAGCCTTCACTACCTAAGTGACTCAGTGATCCTTGGGCACCCATGACCCCATCATCGGTGCACTGCTTGACCTTCCTTAGACCACTTTTGATAGGTACTGACCACTGAACACTGGGAACAACTCACAAGGCCTGCTGTTTTAGAGATGTTCTGACCCAGTCATCTAGCCATCACAAATTGGCCCATAGCAAAGTCACTCAGATCCATACACATTTTTCCTGAATCCAACATATCAACTTCAAGAACTGACTGTTCACTTGCCTAATATGTAATGGCACTCTGAATGAGATAATCAGTGTTATTCACTTCACCTGTCAGTGGTTTTAATGTTACAGCTGGTGATAGGTGTATGTATATGCTGTGTCTGGAATGGAATGACCACTTTTGAGTGGAAAGTGGAGGCAGAGAGGTCTGGATTTGGGCCACGGGAAGCTGGAAGCTGCAGGCAGGATGGTCCAGGGGTGGGATGAAGCTGGACTGGGCAACATGAGACATAAGGCCAGTCATGGAAGTGCCCCCCCGCCCCCACCCTGCTGTCCTAACAAGTAACGCCAACTGAGCAGCCATCGAACAAAGCGTGCAGAAGACTTGCCCTCAGATCAGACAGGCATTGGGACCTCCGGCTGTTATAACCGCTCTGCGACCACATCCCATTTGTTTTTGGTTATGTGAAAACCAGAGGCTTACATTTAATTGAATTTAGATTATATGGCTTTTAGTTGGGATTTTGTCCATAGATTACTTACTTATTTTACTGCCTTGATCTCTGACCTCCTTCCTCTGTATAGCCTCAAACTGGACTGATGTTTTGAGAGAGAATTATTATTTTTATGATCACAGAAATGATGGAAAGTTCATGTTCGTAGTGTCCCTCAGTAACCTTGTTTCCCAAAAAGACGGAAGGTAAATTCTATTCATTTTCCTCCGTAATACCCTTCCTAACATAGTTGTCCAGTGTGTGTCTCAGAGCACGTATCATAGTCATCTGGTTTAGCATACACTATTTATGCACACATTAATGTTAACGTTATATGACAGATATATTACATCTAGTGTGCACTTTCAGTACTCTTCACTTCAAATATTGTTCCTTCATTATGGAATGCTATTTGTAAGTGATGTGTTCTTCCTTAAGGGAACAATTTCTCCAGGTAATCTTTGATCAGTTTCCGAATGCACTTGTTCTTTTAACTTGCAGTAGTTTATGCTGCATCCAGTTAAAGAAGTGTCCGTTGTGGTGTCCATTTTCAGTTTGTGGCTGGTTAGCCAAGCCTTTCACCTGATGAATCTAAGTAGCAGAATAGATGAAGACTGGAGAGACTCTTTATATATATATATACACTGTGAAATTACAAAGCTGTTTTGACAACTGATCTTATGCACATTGAAATTCCCATACTTGGTGATTTCATATGTGATTTATGTTAAGGTCTATAGTAAAAATTCATTTTTCCTCCAGCTAAGTCAGTAAAAATTCATCTCCTCTGGCTGAATCCTTGAACATATGTAGATTTGGGCAAGTTGCACAAAGTGGCCGCAATAATCATATTTAAGTTTGCCGCTTAGCTTCAGTTCTTTTAGAAACTCACCATTTTCTTCTAAACTCTATCCCCCTTTGAACTACCCAGTGTGAATAAAGAGATGGTGTAGACACCTTTTCTCCCCCATATGAAAAAAAAAAAAGAAACAATTTAACCTGAATGTCAGTTTGGCGTATTGCTGCCACCTTCTGGTAGCATTGCTGTGGAATTTGCAGTTTTTATGTTTTACATTCCCTGACATCACAGAGACCCCGATGATCAGAGTCCAACAGGATGTTCCCGACATGCTAAACAAATACCTCGGCCTAAATTCCATCAGTGGATACTGTTCTGCACGTTCCAGGCGCGTTTGGAGCCCCATTCAAATCTGTTTTGTGAAGCATTTTTAATGCAGGTTTAAGTATCTCCAGGGCACAAATGGGTTGTCCGGTCATGCAGTTTCCTGGTCACATGGATGCTTGTACTCATGCCAAATGCGTGTCCCGCATTAAAATAAAGGCACTTCCACTGAGTCATTCATTGTTTTCTCGTTCTGCGAAGTGCAAAACACTGCAGGTGAAACGTTGACTCAAATGAAACTCTGTCGTACCTTTTTGACCTTTCATGCTTTTCCGAAGTTTCCCTCTTCCCACATGTCAGTGGGCAAGGCAGTCAGTCATCTGTGAGATTCTGTCTCCGTTAAGAAGTGTGAAGTTGTGGCCTCGGGATGCTCACACGTCGCCCAAGGCCCCATAGAGCTATATCTCTTAATCCAGGTCTCGGGAAACCGGACCATCGATGTTGTCGTTCCCAGCCAATCATGAACCCCGAAAACCAGGTACAGGTATGCTGGGAGCAGGAAGGGGACAAAAATCTGGACTGCCTGGGGTTTCCCTGAGGCCCAGGTTGAGGAACACTGGTGGTAGTGGTGGCGGGGGGGGGATTTAAAAGCTCATCTTGCAGTCATCTTCTGTAAATGTTTCCTTAGAAACAATGTTGAAAAGCAGGGGCAGCAGGCAGACGCCGTACGGCATTTAAGTGGCGTGAAGACAGTGTTTATAACACTTTTATTTTTTCTGCTGTTTTCCATACTTTGAGATAAACGCTTTGGGAAATTGTTGTGAACGGCCGTAATCTGTTTCTACATTACGTGTCTGGCAGTTCGATTGGTTTATCTTTACGCCAAAGTACAAGGCAGATTGAAGTTCTTATGTCGTGTCTAGATAGAAAAACATGGTCTAACGGAGAACAAAGCAGGAGCCGGCGATATAGAAACACTGCGTGATATAACAGACGGCTTACTGTGTTACGATAAGGTTATGATTAGTGAGAGCAAGTGGTAGCAGGTATACTGTGTTGCAAGTATACCGGGCCTGGAGCGGAATGGACCATTTGTGCTTGGAGGAGGGGGGTGTTACGAGGTTGTGGGAGACACACAGGGAGATACCAGGCTGTAGATGAGGGGGGATGGGAAGCTGCAGGGGGTGCCTTCTCAGACCTGTCACTAATGTAATCCATATTCATGTGATACTCCCCATGCAGTGCTAATTTGACATTGGTGGAGTAGAGTAAACACAGCTTAATTAAGCAGTAGTCCTGAAGCAGGCTTCTCTGCATCATGTCTAATAAACAGTATCTCCTGGACAGGGCTTACATGGACGTGAAGGAGCTGAAGGAGATTCTCAAGCTGGACGGCTCCACACACCTCAACGTGTTCTTCGCCAACTCCTCGGATGAGGACCTGGCCGGGGTTGCCACTTGGCCGTGGGATAAAGAAGCTCTGACACATTTAGGTAAGAAACGAATGTCATTTATATTTTACTCCCTGCAAATTTTTGGCTGATGTCTCTTCCTGTGAAGTCAGTAGATGGATTGGGAGAGCATGGGGGGTCATGAGGTCACTGGAAAGGGGTGTGTGGTGCTCTCGATGTCTTAGAAAGAGGGCGAAGGGCCAAGTCTAGTGTACTGGTGCTCGCCGTCTTGAGGTATGGCTGAGAGACATGGAAGCTATCCATTGACCTGAGACAAAATACTCATTTTGTGCTATGTCTCTTCGGAGAATCCTTGGGTACCGCTGGTTTGACTTTGGGCGTTTTTCCACCGCACCAGATACCATACTTTCGGTACTTCCATAAAGTGCCGAAAGTATGGTACTTCTTTTGTGTCGGTATTCCACTGGTGTAAGAATTGGTACCGGCACCAAATGACATCATCAGTGACCGCCCCTGACTGACATCGTCACAAAGTGCAGCTTAAATCATAATAAAAAAAAAAGCAGCCTAAAATTAAAACTAACAGTTTAGGCTGGAAAATGCGGTTTATTGTCATGTCATGTTATGTCAGCTTCTATCACAGTATAAGATTCAGTTAGGGTGACCAGATAATCCATGTCAGGGAGGACACTCTGAGCTAGGACAGGAATTGTAAATTACCATTTCAATTAAACGGACCTGGATTTCACTTGAGCACTCAGCTCTTGCTGTGTGCTGATTGGTCAGTCTCCTATAATCATGCATGTGTCACTAATGCTAATGTGAAACAGCTGGATGAGTCTTTCAGTCAAGGAAACAAACCAGTCAAAGCACAAGAAGAGCTAAACTATTTAGCCGAGCACAGGAGCCTTTCAATTAGAAAGTAGTTTGTAAAACCCGAAGTAGCTCAAAGTGTCCTCCCTGACATGGATTGTCTGGTCACCCTAGATTCAGTAATATCCAAATTGCATGAATGGTGCCATTATTTACGTTTACGTAGGTACACTTACTTTGGCTAAGCCGGTCAAAGCAGTAAGAATTAGCTTACTGCTAATTCAGTCTTTTGAAAGCAAACAAATTATTTAATTATGTTTTTCGATTTTCAAGCGGCATTGTTCGGTGTTTCGCGTGTGCCCCATTTCTTCCAAGCGGCTTGCTATTACGGTGTTCCCGGCAATTCAGTTTCCCTATGTTTCTCCTGTCTATCAGGAAATGATGTTTCTCCTAATATTTAGGCAAAGATGTATGTGAGGTGTCTGAAAATCAGTCAGGTACTTTATTACATGTGAATGCAGTAGATCGTCACACATAATATAGTCTTATAAGCAATACTATACCGTTTTCATCAAGAAATATCTCTATCCAGCGAAATAATTTCATTTATTATCTGTAAAAACAAAAATACATCGAAAAGGCATGTGATGTTTTAAAATATATGGCTTGTTTACCTCAAGAGCTTCATAAAAAGACATGAAAACAACAGCGAAACCGTGTACAAATTAGCGCACAACAGGGGAAACATAGGGAAACTGAATTGTCCGGAACGGCAAAAACTTTTTAATTTTGAGTCGTGCCATCCAAATCCCGCTGGATCTGTTCATCTGACCATTTGTCCATCCGTCCATTTTACTTATTTATATTTCTGTTTCTACTGCTTTTTATTTTGTTTCTCGCTGTTTGCTGTGTGTTTCAAAAGATGGCGGTTGTATTTTGTGTTTCAGCAGCAGTCTATTTGCATAAGCAATGGACAGCAAATACTTTTGCAAGTCCCACCCCAAAGTACCGAAGTACCAAAGAAGTACCCCAGCTGGTTTGTCACTTTTGGTACTGGAACTTTCGGTACTGGTACTCGACCGGAAGTCAATGGAAAAGCAAAAGTACCGAAAGTACCGTACCGAAAATACCATACTTTGTGCGGTGGAAAAGTGCCCTTTGTGTTGCTCAGGGAGTCCTGAATGAGGCACATTACCTGCATTGGAAGGGAGCGTCAGTTATGGCACTACAGCCATGCGATCGGGGGAACTCAGCAGCCGAGCAGACCAAGGGGACGCCCACTTAATCTCTGGCTGCAGCAGATAGATGCGCCTTTCCAGGGATGGGCTGGACCGTGTGTCAGGCAGGGGCGTCGGACCCCGGGATCTCAGGGTGTTTCGTTATGTGGTGGCCGTGGCAACATGCTGCACCAGTGTATGCTGCCGAACCGGACCTGAAATTCTGGTCCAGGCCGAGTCATAAATGAATCAAGTGGCTGCTTCTGCTCAGCATTGTATAGTATTGTATTTCGGCCCTTGGAGCCAGTATTTTGGTTCTTTTTTATTCAAAGATGCTTATGTTTAGTTCCTGGAAACTCCATGAGTCCAGAGAAGTAAAACTTTCACTACTTCTGTCTTCTTCTGGGGACCAATATTTTCAGTTTTTGTTAAATCTTAATTTTGCTTGCCCTATCGAGACATGTCCAGGAAGGTCAGTCTGTGTGCATGTCCGTGGTTGCAAGGACCACGGTTTCATCATGATGCCCCGCCCTCTGTAGGTGGGATCGTGCTGAATCCCTCCTTCTACGGCACCTTTGGCCACACCCACACCATGATCCACGAGATCGGCCATAGCCTGGGCCTCTACCACGTCTTCCGCGGCGTCTCCGAGGTAGAGTCCTGCAACGATGCCTGTCTGGAGACGGAGGCCTCTCTGGAGACGGGTGACCTGTGTGCTGATACCAACCCCACGCCCAAGTACAAGCACTGCTGGGACCCCGAGCCAGGCAACGACACCTGCGGCCGTCGCCACTTCTCCCACACTCCCTTCCACAACTACATGAGCTACACAGGTGAGGGAGCTTGGCCTCGTGGGAAGCATACCAGGATCACCTTTGACCTTGGCGTCTCAAGAAGCGTGCGCATCCCAAAAATAGCCCTCCAGCTAGAGTTCCTAATGCTTCCGCAAACATCCAAAAACGTGTATCTTGCAACATGTGAGGGTCCTTCGGGATTAACGTGTTTGCTAAACAAACGCTTTAATAATGACAATAGAGTCTTGGCTGTAGCTGTCTGTGTCATCAGCCGAACTGTAACAGGAGATTTGAATCCTCAACACTTAGGTTAGCGGGTGGTGGTGCTACTTTTAGAATTGTGATTTATTGTATGCATTTTTTTGTTACAGCCATTAGTATGGACGCCCTTTTGCTGTGTATGGGTTGTTTACACTGTGGGAAATTTGCCCTGAGTGACAGAAAGGCAGCACAGACCTTTGACTAGAGAGGATGGAATGTCAATAAGATGAGCCAGTGATTTCTACCGGTTGGGGATTAGTTTCTCTTAACCTGGTATTCGGAAACACTTCTCTTTAAGCCATTATCCGCCAGTGTAATTAAGCAGAAATTACTTAACGGCCGTTGATATTACACTTGAGTTATTCTGTGACAGGTGGCCTGGTGCCCATTTTCTATTTAACAAGATCATTTTTTTAGGTCTTTTTTTTTTCTTCTATTTTTTGGGAACTTGCCGTGAAGATAAATTGCAAGCTTAAATTCTTCATGCATTTTAAAAATTGCAAGTACTGCAATTTGTACGCATGTGTCAGTCCCACAGTAGTCATATATTTATTTATAGCCATTTACAACTGTTTAATTTATTTATGAACGTTTTGGATGTTTATGTGGATGTGTAATTTTATTTATATGTAAATTTCACCTCATGACCGGGATTCGCAAGGACTCACAAGGACAACTCGTGACCCATTTTGGGTCTGCTGTAATGAAAGGTGCTGAGGCACATGCACACGCACACACATACACACACGCACACACACACACGCACACATGCGCAAACACGAACACACACACACGCACACATGCACAAACAAACACACACGCACACATGCGCAAACAAACACACACACACACATGCGCAAACACGAACACACACACACACACACATGCGCAAACACGAACACACACACACATTCAGCTTGACTTACAGCCCTGCATATCCCCTTGCACCTACCCGAGCATTCGTCATGGAAAGCTATCGTGGGAGACGTGGGCTGTGACAGGCACGGGGTGTTCCGCCGAAAGATAAGCAGGTGTCTCTGATATTCTCATGGGATTTCACCTCCTGCCCCCACCAGCCGAGAAAGGTCGTTCCAAGGATGAAGTGTGTGTGTGTGTGTGTGTGTGCGCGTGTGTGTGTGCGAGCGGGTTTACCTATCCTTATGGGGACACAATGTCCCCATAATGTGATAAATATCTTTTTTTCCCCTTATGGGGACCGGTTTCCTGGTCCCCATAAGGGAAAACTCTATTTTATAAAAATCGGTGACTACTATGAAAAAACTAAAAATGCAAAAACTCTTGTATTTTGTTTGGTTACTTATGGTTATGGTTAGGGCAGGGTGGGGGTTAAGGTTGTCATAGTTAGCATTAGCATTTTTCCCATTGAAATGAATGAGTGGTCCCCATAAGGATATGTTTACCCAACATGTGCGTGTGTGTGTGTGTCTGTGTGTGTGCGTGCGTGTCTGGGCCCTGCTCTGCCTTTCGTTCTTTCCCTTTATCCTTTTACTTCACACCTGTTTGTGTCCGAAAGTATGTCATTCACTCCATCCTTGAATTTAGCCCTTGAATTCCTTAATGGTCTCCTGATTACATCTATCAGGTCAGATTTATTGATTCGTATGTTTGCCACCAGTCCCTGTAACATTTATACATAAACGTTTAGTCTACTAATTGTCACTGTCATTTTTGGAGTTCTTGTCTGTGTGCTATTTTTTTAGTTCACCATATTATAAGGTTATTTTGTAGTTGTGTAATTGCATGTCTGGGGCCATAATTCATACAGATGGGCCACCCTAATCATTAGCATTAGGTGTTTTGAATCAGTGAGTGATAGGGGATGGGGCTCTCCAATGGCCAATCAGCTTTCAGCTGGGGCCAGTGCTCCTTTGGTCCAGCCCCTGAATATGTCTCTGTGTATATCTTATACAGTGTCTTACAACTCACTGTGGAGAGACATCTCTTCTGAATTACAGCCATGAGAGGTATACTTAACCCATACTTCAGCGACTAAAATATGCCTTTGTATGGGAGATGGCTGGATCTGTTATGGTTAATGAGTGCTAATGCACTCACTGTTTTCTGTTGATGTTTGAGAGCCCAGTCCCTGGGAATTTTCACCTTTTACCTTTGGCCCACAGATGATGACTGCACAGACTCCTTCACGCGGAACCAGGTGGCAAGGATGCACTGCTACCTGGACCTGGTCTATCAGGCCTGGCAGCCTGCCAGCAAGCCGCCCCTCATTCCCATGCCCCCCCAGGTAGTGGGGCAGGACCAGGATTCCATCACACTGGAGTGGTTCCCTCCCATCACCGGTGACTTCTACAACAGGTGAAAACAAGCAGCTGTTTTCTTTTCTCTTGCCTTTTTTGTTGGGGGGGGGGAGGGTGGCTGTGGGGTAGCTACTTGGCGAAAGACACAGTGACCTTGTCTTGGCATGGTGTTCAGTTGCCCTCTAACCAACCCATCTGACCACAGAACTGCCTTAAACGTTCTTCAAAAACGCAGATATCAGCAAATTGTGAAGTGGAGAGAGCGAGAACGGCAAAAATCACAAAAGCACACATATATGTGCATGTATGCATACTTACATTTTTATACATACAAATAAACCATGATTTGGACAGGCAAAATGCAACAACTGAAGTCAATTTTGCATGTAGCCTGTAGCTATATAACTGATGCCCGTAGTTTTCAGTGTTAAATGTATCTAAGTTGGTTCCTGTTGCTGCCTGTTGGTTTCCTAGAGATGTGGGATCAGTATGTGACAAATGCACAGAGGGGAGGATCCTCATCCAGTACGCCTCCAACTCGTCGTCACCCCGCCCGTGCTCCCCCTCTGGACACTGGAGTCCCCGGGAGGCTGAGGGTAAGACTGCAGTGCTGAGTCATCCTGACCTCAGGCTTCTGAGAGTCCCGTACCGGCGTCTTCCGCCTGTCACTGACACGCGAAAACGCCACTCCTTCCTCCCGTCACTGTACGCCACTCCTTCCTCCCGTCACTGTACGCCACTCCTTCCTCCCGTCACTGTACGCCACTCCTTCCTCCCGTCACTGTACGCCACTCCTTCCTCCCGTCACTGTACGCCACTCCTTCCTCCCGTCACTGCACGCCACTCAACCTTCTCCAGTTGACTTGGCAAGCGGCACATGACATCTGTGACACATAATTACTCTTGCCATCACTCAGAGGTGGAAAGTTCAGGTTCAGAAAGTACAAATCCAGACTAAGGTTTTGTTGCAACCAGCCAGTTGAGTATAAACTAGTTGGTTCCACCTCTGCCATCACTGATGCATCTGTCCTTAACAGACCATATCTAAGTGACTCCATTCACTTGACTCGCTTAGTCCGATCGGACCTCAGAACCACCCAGTCATTCACCCTTGATCTTTTTGTTGATGTTCAGCATTCATGAATCCAGGGGTGGGTGAGTGTGTGTGTGTGTGGGGGGGCTTTCTTCAAAAGAAAGTTCTTGCTTATCTTGATGCTGATCAAACAAACACGGGCTCTGTGATCTAACTTGCCCCTGTCGGAGTGTTGCTTTTACTCGGACTGTAAGGAACAGAAAAAAAAACCTCACAATCTTAGAAAATGAATCAGTGGGTTTCTTAAAATAGGATGTTTTCCCTGGCTGCCTCTTCCACAGAACAAGAGAACAAGATAGCGGTATGCAAGAGGTGGGCTTTATGTCTTCTGCATATTCTCAGCAGTACTGATCCAACAAGTCTGTATTAATAATTACTACATGTACATGAGGCACTTATATATCAAAGTGGCAGGTGGAATTCGCTGTTATCGCCAAAAGGACGATTCTTCCCCAGGACATTTATAGTAACTGAGGGTATATGGTCACCCCTCCCCCACACGAATGAAGACGCATTTGTTTTATATGTTTGGAATCCACTGGCATTTTTGTTCTGCTCGGGATAAATCAAACCTACAGAACAGGGAGAAAAAAAGAATTGCCCCAGTACACGAGCGCTACAGCCTGTCAAGGGGTGGGGGTTGGGGGGCGGGGGGGGGGACTCCCTGTGGGGCTGACACTAAATTGTGTGTGTTTGGCGCAGTCGTGTTTGCCAGCCTGGCTTTGCTGTAGCAGTGAGACACAGAAAAACCCCACCGCCTGGAAATGCATAACGTCCTCCTCACAAATCGTGTTTTTTTTTTTTTGTTTTTTAACCTTGGCGTGACCTTTGTGTGTGTGTGTGGGGGGGGTGTCGGAAAAGGATTCTGATTTTATTAGGCAAATGTTCGAGGTCAACTCAGTTTTGTGTCTGACAGACCGTGGGGTTCAAACAAATAAAATCTTGAAATAAAATTAATAAAAGAGGACAATGCTCATTAATAGACAAAACAAACAATCGTATACATAAGCTAAATGAGCAATAAAACACATCAAATGGAGCAAAACAAAAAAAATATCACCAGCCCCTTTATGACACCTTATTGTGACTGACGTATACTCCCAGTGGTCTCACAAATCCACCCAGCTGACCATATTTAAACCCTAATGAGGACAACAAGCTAATCAGGGTCAGCTGGGTTTCATTAGCTAAGGCACTTATGGGCCCTGGAGCTAGTGATCAGTCGCCATTGAGAAGCACCTGTTATTAACCCCGGTGGTCCTGTCAGTTCACTTGTTTTAAGCTCTTTAATTGCATACTGCACGCTATCAGATGATAGCACTGAAACGCATTATTCTCGAGACACTCTGGACACTTACACGAAGGGGTGATTTTTGCCATGGTGGAGCAGACGTTTCTGAGAACATAGTGTGCTGGTCTGTAACCTTGGAGCCTGGCAAGCTGCTCAATGTGGCTGACTTGAAAGCTCACCACCGGAGGCAAACTCAGTTACCCCAGGGGTATTCGGGGTCGAGACGCTAGACAGTGTGGCAGCAGGTCTGGTTTTATCTCTCCAAGTCTGGCGGGCTGAGCAGCCACTGCAGTCCTGCCTAAGAGGCATGTCCGGGCAAGTAGCTGCTGCGCATGGAAACTGTCTCTGCTCCCTCCAGCTTTGAAACATTTCCCCTCAGCTTACTTCACTGCTCCTTCAGGTCTGCAGTCACCACCACTGCCGTCTTTCAAGCATGACTGTTGGGGCTGGGGGGCTGGGGGAAGGGAAAGTGACAGACTGCGGTCCAAGCCGGGGCACCTGGGGTTTCCACAACTTGTATCCTCGCTTCCCTCTCAGACCGACGCATTGTCTTGGTAGGATGGGGCACCCTCCCATAAATCTTCATCGGCGTGGTCTGGAGAGCTCTGGTGAGAGTGCAAAACCGCGCGGGAGTGGGATGGGGAGGGGGTGGAGGAAGAAAAAAGAAACGAAAGAAGCTTAGGCATGCGGGGAAGCATATGGAAATGACCCAAGCGTGCCGTGCGAATGAGGCCGCAACTTCTGATCTTTCCCAGGATGGGATCTCACAGCTGAATGGAAGCGGCACATGGATGTGGGAGGAGGGGAGTGAGCTGGGGAATCTGTGGAATGGGTCTCCTACCTGGAATTCCCCCCCGTTCATGCTTTGCCCAGTTGCCAACCGAAATGTACTGGCTTATGCAGTACTAACGCAGACAGTTTTCAGTGCTGTATTGCGACCAGATGCAGAGGCATGTGTCCATGCTTAGGACTGCATCCTGCTGTGTCTGCTTGGGGGTGGCTGATATGAAATGTTAGCTTAGTGTTGCGCCGGCGAGCAGGGGGACTCGAATTCCATGTGAGCTTGGCCTTGTGTGCTCTGACCCCCCACCAATATACACCCCTGCAGGTGCTTAAATTACCATCTGATTAGCATTCAGCCCAGTGTTTGGACAGTATCCCGCTGCACTCTGTGAGCAGACTCCAGGTGGACACGGCAAATTGCTGTAAACGCAGCCTCAGCCCGCTACACCTCCTGTAGCCCTGTGAGCACCAGGACACTACAACGTTTCCAAGTGCTCTTCCTGTGTACGGTCGAGTGACCAAGTGCTTGTGGTTTGTGAGTGATAGGTGTGCCTCGAAACTTGTGCCCAGCTGTCCCCCCGAGTGATTAATAAATTGCCCTTTAGTTTGTATGGTCCTCCAAAAAAATCCTTGTTGAGTGACTCCAGCCTGAATCCGTATTGGTTCAGTTGGGCAATTAAGACTTTAGAGTACAAGGCAAAAAGCCTTGGCCTTGACTGGCTTGTGCATGCGCTCCAGGAGTCTCAGCAGCTCCTGGAGAATGTGATCCTGGAGGGAGGGGCAGTTCTTACTGGAAATAAAACACATAACAGCAGCTATTACAAGGCTTTGTCAAACACGCACAAGTGACTGCTTAGTTTGCCTGAACGGAAACAACCCAGGCTGAAGTCTGTGTCCCTCTTCACCAACGAGAGCCAGGCATTCAGGAGACTGCCATTCCTTTGGGGGATTAAACACCAGCCCGCTTGTCTGTCGAAAAGGGAACACGCCACCTTTATAATGATATATTCATGACACGTTTTACCCCCATTGTGGTGGCGATTTTAAAACTAAAAAAAACAACCATGCTCATGACCAGAGAATCCAAAGCTCTTCAAAATTATTTGTCTCTGCAGTTTTTTCAAAGGTGTGAACGCTGTGAAAACTGTCCTAACTCGACCTGCTACCTTAAGCAACAGTTGCACTAGCTGAGCAGGCTACCTTACCATCTGGACCACTGCCATGCAACTGATGCTAAGGCCATTTAGCCACAAAACCACTGCTCCAGAGAATTGACACTGAGCCATGGGCTCTGTTGCAGCCCTTGATTGCTTGTGCTGAGCTGTTTTTCCAGACCTGTCATTTTGCCCATCCCCACCACCCCATTCCGCACCCCCCGCCCCCTCTGGCCTCTCATGTGAGGTCTCCGGTAGCATGGAGCGTTGAGGATCCCCGTGTGGGGCCGTTCTTGGCTGAGGGCCTCGCCGTTCCAAGCTGTCATAATGATCTTCGGCCTCTCCAAATATAGCAATGTGCTAAGCCTTTTTTTCTGGTTTTTGTTTGTTTTGTTGCTTGTTGTTCTTGTTGCTGATTTCCTGTAAGCTTGTCAGGAGAAACCTCACCCGGATCAAATGTTGCCCAGAATATGACAGTCCGATTTTCTTGGGACAACACAGGTATTCCTTCTGGCATTCTGAAACATGGCCAGACCACGCACGCGCCTCTTCCTGCCCCCCGCGCCCCCACCCCAGCCCCCTGCGTGGAAAAAGCAGGGCATTTCATTCGAGAACTTGATTGGTTGCAGCCAGATTATGCAGCAGGGGGGAAAAAAAAAAAAAAGCGGCCGTGGAATATTTCTGACGCAAATGCCACGGCCTCCCAAGTGAGGAAATCTGGAGCACGTGGAGGAGGAATGGACAAACATAGCTGCTGGTTTCCTCCCCCCTCACGCATTCTCTCCAGTCCCCGATGCCTAGCCTTGTTTGTCCGCTGCCATCCTACGAGAATGCCTATTCCTCGGTCGAGGTTCCTCGACTCGTGCCAAAGTGATTCTGAACATCGCTCACCCAAGCCCTAAACTGTCCCCTAAACAAGTCCCTGTGTAAGAAGGAGATAGCCGCTGTTGACTCAGACAGGTGGCTCAGGTGGACGGTGCTTTGCTTGCAGGATGCATTTCAGTGAATTTTATGGATGCTTTATGGTTTTTATTCAACTGCACGATAGCGGCCAGAAGCGTCCTTCAGAGTATGTAGATGAAAGGCAGTTTGTGGTTTGGTTTCACAGCTCCAGGTTCCTCTCTGACATCTGCTGATTAGACCATCACGAAAGTGTCTGTGATGGGACAGAGAAGCAGCCTGGACACTTATGATAAGGGACGGGCACAGAATCCATAATTCAGTTTCAAATAGCGCTTTTGTCTTCATATGCTGTCACGATACCTCAGAAGATGACATTTGTTCATTTCCTCCCTCAGTTGAAAGACTACACTCTTCTGGTGAGTTGGTGACCGTAAGTTGCCTTCAGTGTGTGCGTGTCCCGTGATGGATCGGTGCCCTGTCCAGGGTGTGTATTTTGCCTTGCTTTCCAGGATGGGCTTTTTATTGGAGCTGGTATCGGAAGTGGACAGACGGGTAGATCTTGTGTAGAGTGGTTTACAGTGAGCCAGCTGTTCTCCATCCCTCCTTCCGCGAGGCCTGACCATTTGTAAGGATATATGTACGTGACCTAAATTATTAAAACGGATCAAATGTAAATGGGTAAAAATGTCAATGCGATGAATGCAAGGGCAGCGTCACGAAGGTACCTGCCTCCATGCTGGCAGAATGCAGGTCAAAGCATGTCCTTGCCATTCTCTACATGCCTCTGCAAGTCCTTCAGACCTTATACATCCATCTTCAGCACAGACTGCAAATCTCAGACCCCAATTCCCATGGGGTGCCAGGAGGTCGGAGAGAGAGCCAGACGAACGCCGGCAAACGATGCCAATTAAGCTGAAATTTGACTTGAAAAGCTCCTTTGCTTTTTTCCTAGAATGAGAGCCTTCCTAGACAGGCCAATACCCCAACAGGATTAAATAGGCAGCTAAGGAAGCAATATCCAGAATTCAGACGGCCCGGTCACCTTGACCGTCCTTCCCCCTGGCCTGAGATGCAACTGTAACCCTAATGTCTGGAAGGAAGGTCTGTTTATCAGCCAGAGGCAGGACTGAAATGAGCATTTCAGATGAAAACCTTCAGAATATACTGTTTTTGGAACTGAAACACGCTGTCCAAGTGCCGACTTGTAAACCTGGTGTTATGTTTTTTTTTTTTTTTTTTTGATTTTTGAAGCGGCAGTCCAGGCTGGGAGACAGCTTGGGCGCTGTAAATGTCACACGGCACTGAGTGAATGGTAGCATTCACCACCACGTTGGAATGGTTAGCTGGCTGACTCATTTTCCCTATCCCACCCTTGACGGTCATTCTCCTCTTTCATAAACAATCGCACAGGGAGGAGCAAGCGCCACACAAAAGGCCCCGGGACATCGATCCTTTCGCACTTTCCCGTAATTAGTCTTGCCGTTGGTCGAAATGTGCCTCGTACCATCTTGTTTTGTCATCAAATAAAACCAAAACTTTGATGCGCGCAGCTGGAACCTGTGCAAACTGCTGTCACGCTCAAATGATGGCTATTCACTTTCTGTATGATGCTCCTGACTTAAGAGCACGTGTTAGCAAAGTCAGAAATCCCAGTGAGAAATTAAACACTGAGATGGGTGGAGATTAGAGGAAAGGAAAGAAATCAAAAACACTGTGCATTTCAAATCCATAATTTTCGAGGTTACCTCTGTTTTGGCCACACGCACGCACACACTTACGGTAATAAATGTGTTGTGATAATTGAGCCCAGGGGCTGATTTCACTGCTCGCCTGATTAAACATTGGATTTTTGTATGCTTCCCAGAAATGAGGTTAGCGAATGGATCCCATGGCTGCCAGTTTGGAAGTGTGTGAAAGCAAACCGGCGGAGAACGCGGTGTCTAGCGGACGTCGGCTTCTCGAGAACGCTCGACGGATGCATACGTCACGCTGAATAATGCGAGCCTGCCGCCGCCGCCAAATATGGCACGGCCTAATTGCGCTCCTGAAGTGGAAGCCCTTGCGAGAGGCCTCTCGACAGCCACTACAAGCTGGCTTCGCTGTAGTGAGCTGCGCTGGGGTGGGGGGTCACGAAAAATGTGTGCTGCTCGTATGGAATGAGGGTGACGTTTATTACAGCTCCAAGAAATAAAAAGGGAGGGGGGCTGATTCCAACCACTGTGCGTCATGTCAGGAGAGGAGATCCATCTGGAACGTGGCCTTTCTGCCAGGACCACCCCGGGCCTCCCCATACCCCGCCTCATTGGCGCCCCCTGCTGGTTGCAAATCCTCCTTGGGGATTTGACCATGCAGATGTCGTATGAGGTCCTGACCATGTAGCTGCAGGGCAGCGGTGACCGCTCCCCATCCTATGTGCGGAGGTGGTCCGGCACATGCCGCGCTTTGTTTATTCAGACTGCACGCGTGTTGGGAGTCCGGGAGCGCAGCTGCGTTGTGCCGACACAAAACAAAAGCGTCACGCAGACGTGCTCTGTGAACTGCGCCTGAGGCTGTCCCAGAAGGTGCCTGATTAAAATTGCTTAACCTGAATAGTTTTGTTAAATGGAAATGCAGCTGCTTATAACGGTCAAATCCGTGCAGGTCCTTATGGATCAAAGAATAGGATGCCGTGTGGAGTCTGAGGATTCTGATTTGAGTTTGTGGGTCCCCTCCTTTTGCCCTCAGGACCCCCAGATGTGGAGCAAGCATGCGAACCCAGTGTGCACACATGGAGCCCCAATACAGGCATGGAGCCCAGCACTGTGGGCCCCCCGCCCTGCCCACTGCAGGGCTGCATGCTCCAGCTGGAGTTTCCCTACCCGCTGGTGCCGGAGTCTCTCACCGTCTGGGTCACCTTCTTCTCGCCTGAGGAGAGCCAGCTGCCGGCCATTCACAACATCCTGCTGCTGACGGTGAGCGGGCAGAACGTGTCGCTGGGGCCGGCACATGTGTTCTGCGACACGCCGCTCACGCTGCGCCTCTCGGTGCACGAGGAGGTGTACGGCGTGCAGTTCTTCACCACGGAGCAGCACCTGGAGATCGACGCCACATTGCTGGCCTCCCGGCCCGACTGCCCTCTTTGCCGTGACTGCCAGCCTCTCCGCTACCGCCTTCTGCGACATCCGCCATTCCACGATGCCCCGCTGGGCCTGGACATGCCAGACACCAGCCGCAGATATGTGGACAGGTGAGCTAAACTGTGGCACTCGAGTTACACTTGAAGGTCACTTAGTGCTTCCGTTCAGGGCTTTCTGTAAATCTGCGTCATCCATGTCGCTCCCCCATCGCATCCTTTCATCGATGCTGTTGATGTGAACATGTTAGCAACACAGAAACAACATAAATTCAACGTGTGAAGCGTCATTGACAGCCCATAAGTCTATCAGATCAGTCATCTGCTCCTAAGTGTTTATTCCTGGGAGCTTTATGGTATGCTGTCCAGGTGGCCGGTATTTGTTATCCCTTGAAAAGGGAAAAGAAAGTAGTACTGCCATTAATATTCAATTAAATTCAATTAATTTTCATATGGTGCCTTTCACAACAGTTGCCCCAAGGCGCTCGTCATGGGTGTGTGGTAATACATTGCTACATCATTTATACAGAACATTAATATTTCTGAGGCAGCCGAAGTGACCGGAGATGAATTCTCATTAGATAATTGGCTGTGCACAAATAATGACGTGTTTGTGGTTACCAGACCAGATGCGATCTAGGTTGGGACACTCCAAATGCTGTCTGGACGTGCTGTAGCATAAAAGGGATGCTGCTTGGGGGGGGGGGGGACTTGTGATGCATGTGGCGGTTGTCCTCGATTTTTCTATCTGTTTAACTGGCTGTATTCGCGGCTAATAGCCTGGGTGCCTGATATGTGTTTCCCCTTCGTACCTGTTCAGTTTGCAGAGTAAGGGGGTATGGCTCAGTGGGTTAAGGCCGCTGCAATCGGAACATCGCCAGTTCAAATTCCAGGGTCAGCAGAGTGATTTCACCCGTGGACTCCTAAGCGAGGCCCTAAAACCCCAATCACTCCAGGGACTGTCTGACCCTGCGTTCTCAAAAATGTATCCGTCTGCTCAGTTAATAAAGTCTAAGATGCTGCGAAACATTTCAGAGAGTTTTACTGTGAAAGGATCACTGAATCGTGCCAGAGGCAGCTGAAGCAGGTATGCTGGTGAAGCAGGAATGCTAGTGTATGTTGAAGCTTGAGGGTCTCCCATCGAATCTGCCACGTGTTCCTGTAACGGCGGGTGAGATCCGGTCTTCCTTTGAGAAAAGCCACTGCGTTGTAGGTCTGCTGTTTTTTCAGTTATTAATGGACCCGTTTTCTGTCTTGCTTTTGATATTCCCCCCTTCAAAGACTCCCCCAGCCATTCCCCACCAGCCAAGCCTTCCACCAGGAGCCCCTGTCCTCCCTCTTCTGTTATGTCAACATCCCCTGCTGCTGGTATGCTCTGTAAATCTCATCACCCTGCCTCCGCTGTCTTCTTTCACCCTTATCGGTCTCCCGAGGGGGCATTTCCGCACTCAAGGTCGCATTTTTCGTTTGTGACGTGTTTTTTTTTCCCAAAAGGAGAGCGTGCTGGAACTTGCGCCCCCTGTTGTGGGTTGAGATGTGCGACACAGGTCACAGAGTTGGAGCAGATATTGAGTGCACGTCATACTCCTTGCTTTTTTTTTTTTTTTTTTTTAGGGTAGTAATTGTTTTAGGTCCCCCCTCCATATCAAGGCATGGAAGGTGCCATGTTTGGGGCGCACAAATGGGGCATGTGTCAAATTGGCTTCCTTTCCACTGCCTTGAAGTGTCAAGAGTGTGTGTTTACCACTTGACAAGTGGTAAAGCTGTCAGAATGACTGTCTACTAGGTGTTTTCTGTTTATCTGGAACTTTGATGGATAGACAAGAAGCGGTTCCTTGTAATATTTTCCCTTTGCCAGAGATCTATACTTGTGGTTACGTCAGCTGGGATCTCTACATTTCCCGGAGTGCATGTGTGTGTGTGTGTGTGTCTGCACATGTGTGTGAGCCCTGCAATATGCTGGCAGCCTGTCTGCCCTATGTTTCCTACAATAAGCTCCTGGTGTGGAAGATCGATGGCTGTGGAAGACCCTATACTTGGGTAAATAACGCTTTGTAATCACTTTCGTTGTCCAGTATACTGCCTGTACCTGAAATGAAGTTTACCATTGAGTTCCTCTCACTTATAAAGCTTTTTAAGGAAACCATTTGAGTCTCGCCTGTCAAACACCGATTAATGAGAAGTGAAATCCAAAGAGGTTGATATCTCTACCGGCAAGATGCTGTGATCCTCTGTTGGGATGGTTCCAGGGTTTATATGTTACACTTTCAGATATTGTTCCCTGAAAACACTAAAGTGATTTTTCAGGCCAGATTTTCTACAGACACCCCTAAGGGAAGGAGGGGCTGTCTAATTTAACTGCCTTGGTATTCTGTTGTTGAATCCGGGTGTAATGGGGTAGGTCAGGAGAATGCTTTGGTGAAGCGTGTTACCCTACCCACCACAAGATAAAACACCTTGGGATCCCAGTTGGCGACCCCAAGGCTGACATGAAGTCTAATCCCACCCTCTGGAAATGGCCCATTATCTGCTACAGCCAAGTGTTACTTGGCCTGGTCCAACTGCTCGGGTCCTCAGCAATGAGGATCCTGCAAGCTGGGTCACCCTCAGGGAATCCCATCACATGGCCACAGTGCTATACCTGATGTTCCCTCACAATGCATGTAATGTGCCTCATTCGGGATTCCCTGGGCAACTGCTCGTTTGACACAAAGTCAAACCAGAGGTACCCAAGGACTCTCCAAAGAGACACAGTATCAAGAGTCCAGTTTTTGTCTCAGATCATTGGATAGCGTCCATGTCTTGCTGCCATACAGCAAAACACGGATCACCAGGACTCTAAAGATTTGAACCTTCGTCCTCTTACAAAGATATCGGGAGCACCACCCACCCCTTTCCAGCGACCACATGACCCACTATACTCTCCCAATCCATCTACTAACTTCATAGGAAGAGTCACCAGAGATATAAATGTCGCTGCCAAGTAAGTGAACCGCAGTTGACATTCTCTCTGCAGACAGACACAGTGCTGATGGCTGTGCTCAAGAGATCATTAAAGGCCTGGATCTTGGTTTTTATCCAAGACACTTGCAAGCCCAGGCATTCAGACTCCTCGGTCAGTCTCTCAAAAGCCCCAATTAGAGCCTCCATTGACTCCGTGAAGATCACAGCATTGTCAGGGAAGTCAAGATCAATAAATCTTTCTTCACCAAAAGATGTCCCACAGACACTGGATCCCACGATCATGCCCAGCACCCAGTCAATGCAAGCATTGAACAGCAAGAACACACCCCTGATGAACCCCAGAATCAACTGGGAAGAACACAGAGGTTCTGCCTTCACTCTGCACAGCACTCACAATAGCAATGTACAGACTGGTCATGATATCCAGCAACTTCGAGGGGATCCTACAAAATCTCAGGATGTCCCACAGGGCACCTTGATCAACTGAGTCGAACGCTTTATGGAATTCTGCAAAAAAGGCTGCAAAGAAACTCTGCCAATATTTGCTTTTGTACTCAATGAGAACCCTCAGTGCTAAGATGCAGTCGATTGTACACTTCTTAGGTATAAAGCTCTGGTTGTTGTTAGGCAAGCAAGTAATCATGGATCCTGTTGAGGGTGACACTAGCAAGGACCTTACCCAGCACTAAGTATTATACCCCTGTTGTTGCCACAATCCATGTAATTACCCTTTCCATATAGGGATAAGAAGTCCTATTTTCAGATTGGTTGGGATGACACCCATCTCCCGAATGGAAGCAAAGACTGCTTGCAATGCCTGGAAGACAACCTTACCACCAGCCTGGAGAAGTTCACCTCAGATAGCACAGATCTCTGCAGCCTTCCCTATCCCCAGCTGGTTCACCACCTGTGCAGTCTCAGTGAGAGACTCTGACTGTGACTCCCTGATGAATAGATTCAGATGTGCATAATGCTTCAATTCCTCAATAAGCAGGACGTGGGTCACTGGACCATAGATGGTGTGTCACTTGCTCACAGATCCCTCTAAGAAATGCCTCCTTATTTGCTCTCAGAGCCCTCGCAGCCAGCCTTCTCAGTTCCCGGTACAGACCATAGTTTCCATCAAGCCGTGCACTGCAGTTCCTCTTGGTAATATCCAAGGTGCCCTGCAATATGAAGCACCATCTTCTGGAAACACCAGCAACACCAACACAACCCTCTTCAACCTTCAGGGTCTTGTCACGGAAAGTCTCCCACATCACGTTAAAATCAGCAATCACACCGAAGTCTGCAAGTGCCTCACAAAAGCTGCATGCAAGCTCATTAGAAACATCCTGATCTTAGAGTCTGGCCAGGTCCAGCCTCATTCTTCTAGCAGGTAGTAGCCTACTGGACCTAAACTGAATCTTCAAAGTAGCAACTACAAGTGTGTTTTCAGAATTCACAAATTGGGTACTTCTCTAGGCTCTGCTGTTCTGTAGGACCCTCTAGCGGCTGCTCACGAGAATGTGATCGATTTCCTTTGCCGCACCACCAGTATTGCAATACCTAGTCCAACAATACGGCTCAGGGCACTGGTACCAGCATCCAGCGGCCTGCAGCCCCTAACCTTTGCAAAGTCAAGGAACCTGGAGCCTCTTTCACCACAGTCACCAGACCCTTGGCGACTGACACAATCATCATCAGTGCCAGTGGTCTCACTGAAGTCACTTCATGGGCACCCATCAACCACTAAGTGAAGCTGCGAATACAATGTCTCCCTCATGGAGACATCATTCACCATGGTTGAAGCGTACACTGAACCAACAGATTGGACACCCAGAGAGTGCCTTAGCTTGAGTCTCATAATAAATACGCTCATTGAGAGAAGTGACATCGGACACCATCGGAAGGAGCCGATCCACCACAGCAATATGTATGACAGCCATCAGAGCGACCAGACTAATAATAGATGTATCCACCTACAGAAATCTGGACACTCCCTGGTCTTCGTACCTCAGAGAGTGCTGCCACTGAAAGGCAGAGTTTATGAAGCTCCCCCAACAGCAGTGGAAGATGGTCATCTTGCCGGAGAGACACGCGCCGACCTAGATGGGCTGCCTCAGATTAGGACCCGAGTGCTGTCATGCAGCGGGCGACACCTCAGCACC